GAGCTTGCAGTTATAGATACCTCTTGTCATAATAATAACAATGAAGGTATTTATTGAATGCATACAACAAATGACATATCATATTTACAAAGTGTAAGTAAAAGAAGCATATAAACATATACACAGTGACAATATAAGATGAAATTCACTGTGCAAAAAATCAAAAAAAAAATCAAAAATACTAGCAATATTAATATTATTATTTCATGTGATTAACATGCAAGTTCAACCTCTGCCTTGCTTCAATGCTAAGAAACATGCACAGCTACCTTCCAAGATGGTACAGAGAAGTGTAAAATAGAGTATTTATTRCATTAATTCACGGAATACTGACCACAAGAGCCCTGTTTCACTAGATTTATCGATGTTGCTGTATTACAGGCGTCTACCCTCATATGACACTTGTTGACGTACGTCTTACGATTAGAACCACATACAGGTTCAAAGTCACGTGCACAGCTCTCRTCCAATGGACATCTACACTCTGCTCGCTTGGTCACACCTTCCACTATTGTCACGCAATGCGTTCCACTTGAACACGAAACTCCAAAACAGGGACCTAAAGTCATCAAAATGTAGAGGAAGAAAGCATTWAAAATGGAGTCATCATTATTGATTGTCTATACCGAGATTACACAATTATTTACAGAGATTTGATATTTATACCAAGATGACATGAACATAAACAGGGATGATCTTATCATTACCATGTGCATAAAGAGGAAATTACTGTAAGCATATGMTATTGCCATGATATCACTCTTTGGATGTGGTTTCCACAACATCATTGACATTAACAGTTAAACCTATGTATACTTACCGCACTTTCCTGGATACTGGACACGTGTTGATTTCTTGTTTGCACAAGCATGGGCCTTCATTTCGCATTCGTTAGAGTACGTCTGTCCATCTGTGCCGCATACTGGATTTTTCTCTTGTGGACAGTCAATCCTCTTTGGACAGACACATGAAGATGTACCRTCCAAGCGACCCACACAGACACTATAGTTATCACACTGATCAGGTTTGCACGACCCTGCGAAGTGCATGCATTAGTAATACTACCCTTAATGGACCCCTGCATCATCTTTAGGGTAGGCATGACCTTAAATATAGCCAGACAAATGATGAACGTTCAATGATAGAAACCTGTGAATAGCTAACACCCCAAGTGCACTAGACGTCTAGTGTTGAAGCACAGGCATGGCTACTTTAARAAWGTCACAGGAAACTGTTACYTKATCWGTATTAATACAATTTATAGCTTACCACAACGTCCCCTGTGTTTSACTGTTAGAGTTATCTTCTGTGGACAGGCGGCTGYWTCCATCATGCATGTACTAGCATATGTCTTGCCGTCACTAGCACAAATTGCATCTTCATCTTTGTGTGATGGGCATTCACTATCTTTGCGACATCGACATGAAGTGGTACCATCGTACTTGGACACACACTGTGCGTTATGCTTACATGGGTTGTTCAGAATGCATGCTCCTTGGAATTGAATAAGTGAGTGAAATGACAATGTGAATGAGAGGGAGCAAGACAGAACAAGACAGATGGACCGAATATTCGAGATGGACAGACAGTCAGAATAAGCTTAAACGTCCTGATATAAATACATACCACAATAACCTCTCTGCTTCACTGTCACCATGGCATCTTTCATACAAGCTCTAGCCTTCATAACACACTCGTTGATATACGATTTGTCATCACTGCCACATACGGTGTCAACAGTTAATGGGCAATCGAGCTCTGATTGACATGCGCAGTTGGGTTTTCCGCCGCGCACCACACATTGCTTGTTGTCTTCGCATACCACATTGAAACAAGGATCTACAAAATTGAGATTAATGCCATATTTAGTAAGATGAGGCAGAACGGGGAGAGGGACTTGCCATAAAATGAAATATGTGATATATGTATAAAGTCATCCTGTCCATCATCCCCCTGGAGTCATGACCCTATATTGTACACTTACCACACATTCCTTCTCTAATTGCCATTATTTCAGTTCCTTTTTGACAATTTTCAACTTCCAAGTGACATCTGCTAATGTATGTACTGCCATCGCTGCCACAGACAGGATTAAGACCCGATGAACACTCTCGTATGTCCTTGCACACACACCTTGGTGAGTTGTCAACCATTTCGCATCGAGAATGATTACCACATTCGAACGTCACACAAGCATCTAGACAAACAATAAATCATGATTTTCTTAGTATGCATGGATGCACTTTGTAAGAACTTCGAGAGCTTGTTGAAACTGTTGAGGTGTGATCAGAAGGGTTATTGCTGTTATTATGGACAAACATAAGCTTAAATGAAATTCTCACCGCATGGTCCGAGGTTAGACACCGAAACTTCTTTGCGTTGTTTACAAGATAAGGCTCTGAGTTTGCAGTCATTGTCGTAGTTAATGCCGTCTGTTCCACACACTGGAGACTTTGCAGATGGACAGTCTTTCAAATCTGGACACACACAAGCTACTTTTGCATCTGATGAAGTGATGCAGATGCTGTTGTGTTGGCAGTTTGCTTCGAAGCATGGGTCTAGTTGGAAAACAAGAAAAATATGATCTTGCAAGTTRATTGTATACTGTTATAACCTAACCTGCCAATAGCCACGTTGATAGTCAAGTGAACATATGCCTGTGATTGTTATGATGGTTACTTGCTACTCACAATGCGAGGAAATCAACATTGCAACATACATAAAAATGACAACTCAACTTAACGTGCCAATAGCCACGTTGATAGTCAAGTCAACATTGCAATATACATAACATTGCATGTTGATGTTGGAACGATAACAGCCAAAATGTTGGAATCGTCAACAACATACATTGSCCAATTCTGACAAACTGTTACTAATCGCGTCTCTTGTTTTGATATTAAATTTTTACAAACCTGTACAAGTTTCCTTTGCCAGCTTTACACTCAGACTTGACAGCTCATCAGAGGTGTCAATCATATATGCATCACGTGGGCTAGTTGACATCTTTTGCAGTACACCCACAGGAGAGTCTTTACCAACACCAATGGMAAATACTTTGATATTATCAGCTTTSAGTGAGTCTGCAGTAGTTTTTATATCTTCACTTATATCGCCATGAACAATAATAATGACTACCTTAGGAACTCCTTCCCGACTGCTCCCCTTAAGGATTTTAGATGCTTCCTTTAAGGTTTTGGTTATTCGYGTAGRTGTTGCRGGGAAACTATCTTGTTGAATCAAATCGACACGCCGTGAGAGAGATTTCAAATCAACGAGCTCGTTAAGGTCAAAGACTTTGGTAGGCCGACTTGCACTGTGTAGGAGGACGGAGACTCGGGTATGTGTTGTAGAAATTGTGAAGGTGTTTATTATAAAAATAGCAAATTCTTTTTGTTTCTGGAAGTCCTCCTTTGAGACTAGTTCGGAACTGTCTAAAGCAAACACCACATCCATAGGGATTGGACAAGCTGAAAGGGAAGGAATATGTATAACATTATTTCTTTAATACTATTAGGACAAGGACGAAATAATAATACTATTAGGACAAGGACGAAAACAAGGGCAAGGGCAAGGGACAACTTCTCCACCTGCAGGTAACAAGCACACTGGTTCCAACGTAATAACTCCATCCTTTGGCTTGCAGCGTCCACAATATCCTCCACACTTGGCAGAGGCAATGAGACCATCAGATGTCTTATTCAAGTCTTGTATTCTTTGTCTCTTGGGGAATCCTTGGTGAATCCAACTTACAGTGTCCTTCATTCGTAGTCCTGTTCCAGTTAGATCGATCTGAGGCACGTACATAAAATATTTTAACATTAATAATAGAGCCATTACATGTGCTGTCAAATTAGCTTTTTTATTGCTCTCTAGGGGAAACAAATAATGGTGGGAGTTTCAGCCCTGGCGCTTTTTCATGTTCGCTGAAACAGCCCCATTTGAAAATATAGAAGTAGTTGTGCCATATCTATCAAAGAAATGTAAAAAAAAAAGGTTTTATGGATACCCATCATGCTTTGTTGAACAAAATAGTACAGCCTATTGCCTATTGCAGCAGCATAAATCCTGACCCCAGAATACCTTGAAGGAGCCTTTTCTACAGTCAGACTGCACGGAATAACAATCACCAGCTGTTCCATACGCAATTTGCTTTCCAGATGCAGTAGTGGAAAATTTAAAGTCACTGTCATGAATTGACAATGGCTTTAGCAGAAGACGAACTCTTTGGAAGTTAGTGGTTCCACTCTCAGCATAAACTTGSCCTGTYTCGTCTCCATCACAGTCGTAACGCAATTGAAGTCTCTTGTCATAAATGATTGCATAGTTGTTTTGTGGTCCCGAGGGAAGGGTGATGTACTCCTTTGGACTCCCTGTGGACATGTTGTCACAGTAGACTCGGATTGAGTCACGACAACTGTCACTCAGCTGCAGAAGATAGTGCCCATCTTCTTTGAAACCAGCGGCTTGTACATCTGCACAGCTTCGATATTCTAATGAAAACGAAATCATACTATTACAACGGCTGAGTCATCAGTATTTGAATATGAAAAGAAATAACGTGTGTTTACTGGAAAAAATTGTGACAAATATATCCAATCCAAACTGTTCGAAACCCAATATACCAGGAATAAAAAAATAATCTCCAGTTTCATTATTCCTTGTTCATTATTTGAATCATCAAGCAGCATAAAATGTACGAATTTTCTACAACCTTAAATGAGAGCTCAAGGGAGTAGCTAGTTTAACTAGGATATTGATGTTTCCAAGGGTTTAGCTCAATGACGAAAAAGTTACACAAACATACCTCTTGCAATGTGTGATGGGATTTCCTTAGACTTTTCGTTTTCATTGTCTGGTCGGGGTGAAACAATCAAATCGACCCCAGATGCTATTTTATCAAGCTTATTCCGAGGTGGAAGTCCCAGAGCAATGAGAACAACTTTCACAGACATATCACGCAGTTTCTGAACTTCATCTTTGATTTCAGGAGACGATTCATCATAGTCGCCCACTGTCATGACCACTAAGACATCCTGGGCAAGAGGTCGATTTCCATTCATCTTTGAAAACAGTTCTTCACGAGCCTTGTAAAAAGAGAAAAAAGTTAGACTGTTCGCTTGGCTTTGACGAAGGGGTAGCTTTATAAGAAATGAATGGTTTGCACAGGTCATATCAAGTCAAAGCAGTTTAGTGCTACCACAAGGGCATCTAAGCTGATCAATGCTTGTCTTTAGAAGTGAAATGTTAAAAATAAACCAAAAAGTAACAAATGATAACAATAAAAACAACAAATTAGGTAAAAAAAGTGTACAAAAAGGAGGAGAGACTTAAGTAATCAAATTAATTTAACAAAACTAACCTTACGCAGCCCTTCAGCTAGTGATCCTTTGGCTCCTTTCGAAAAGGAATTCACCAAGGCCTTAAATGACTGCTTATTGTAATTGCGGCTAAATAAGACTGGAGTAGAGACAGGATCGTTATAGTCYACCAAACCRACRCGGGTTTCCTGTGGTGAAACTGTGTACATATCGACTACTGTGTTAACCATTTCTTTCATGAGGGAGAAGTACCGCTCTGAGTTGATTCCTGATGCACCAATGGCAAAGCCAAGGTCTAGCGTTGTTTCTTGAGAAAAACACAAAGACATTTTCAAGACATTTTGTGTATTGCTAAAAACAATTAATGATAAGGGAGAATGGTTTAAAACTGACAAAAAGTATCTTTTCACTGTCATTTAACTGTATAACAATTCTTCCGAAAGAGGATTATTGTGAAGATATTTCAATTTGTGCGTAAACTCATTTACAATTCAAATAGTTTATGATAAAATGCAACAATGTGATGAGAASGTCACGTCTTACTTACCACATATTCCTTTGTTTTTGACACCGATTTCTTTCTTGTTCATACAAGACTTCATTCTTARATGGCATTCGTTCATGTACATGTTGCCATCTTTACCACAAACATAACTCACTTCACTAGGACATGATGTGTCACACTCACAAGCGTATGTGTCATCCGCTTTTGTGACGCATTTAGCGTGGAATTGACACTGGAYATTTTTACATGGATCTAGAAATTTAACATTTKRTCATCATCGTTGCTATCGTAATYAGTRATCATCATCATCATCATCATAACCTGGATCACATTGGCATGAAGTGGAATCAGGCRTAGCTTGTACAGMCAATTAAGAGCCCTTACGASCTTTCTTTTATGTTTGGAAATAAAAATACATCATYAYATAAGCGCACACCTACTCTTACATTTTTCATGCTGTGAATCGAAATTTTGTAAGATTCAATCATAGGACCAAAGGATTACAAACAGATATTTCAAGTCAACTTATATGAAAAATTGGATGCATGCTAGCAATGCCTTTTAACTACAAAGCTATAATATCATAGTTGAGTTGAAGGTTGTACGTGCTTAGATAGATAGGCATTAATAATCATCATTAATTATTATTATCATTAATTCTTAATTGATCATTAATCACATGTACTCACTGCAGATGCCTTTGCGTTTGATAGCAATCTTTTTCTTTTCCATACAAGCCGTTTTACGGAGAAAGCATTTGTTAAGATAATCTTTGCCATCGCTACCACAAACAGGGTTATATCGAAGACGGCAAGAATAAGGGCAAATGCAATGCGTTGAGCCATCAGCTCGCATATGGCACCGACCGTGATAAGGACAAGAAACCTTGGAGCACGGAGATATAGCTGAAGTAAGATGAGATATAGGAAAGAGACTGTAAAGATCTAGTATTTGCGAACATTTCTGCTCTGTACAAGGCACAGCTGGATTTTTGGCAATATTTCCACATATCGTCGATGATGATGTGGTTGGTGCCTTTTCAATTGGCATGGTGAAAAAAGGCGAGACTTACAGTTAGCACTAGAGAGTTAAACAGGGCGACAGAAAGACATTATAATGAAGAAAAAAGCTGAACATGGTTGTAATCCATGAATAATGAAGGAGCACCAACTTGACAAAGTAATTTTGCAAGAAAATCTATTAGTTCACCACTTCAATTAGGATCAGGTGAGCTCACAAAGGTAAGGCAATGTATTACAATGTACATGACATTACATTATCGTGAGAAATGTCCCAAATGTGCCTTTGACATAATATATACAGATAGCCTTGCATAGAGGTTCACCAYCCTAAGATGACTAGTTACCAMATAAATGAAAACAAGAAAAGACAAAGAAACTCACAGCAGAATCCYTTCCACTTGACAGTGATGGCCAAGTGTAGTTTACAGGCATCTCTAGTCATGTGACATAGATTCCAATACGTCTTGTAATTACTACCACACACAGGATTGAGAGAMACTGGACATGAGTGGGAGCAGTCCAAGATGGCTGAGAGGTGTTAGTTTAAGAAACGAATATGATTGATTAGATAAGTCAATTTTTGAAAAAAAGATGAAGATTAAAAAGACATATGGATAAATAAAGATAAAAATATAAGATTGATAATTCATTCAATTAATAAGCATAATAATCAACCAACCAACCMACCAAYCMACMMMCMAMMCMAWYMATYAAYCAACCAACCAACACTCAATCAATTGACAACMCTACCTTTTAGTACTTTTTCCATGATCTTCTCTGCAGTATCCTTCGGATCTTTAACTAATGGCTTATCAATGACATTATTTGGGTTAGATGTCAGYTTAGTCAACTGATCGCGGTCTGCAGTTGGCCCCAAAACAAYTGGAATAACCTTAATMCCACTCATCTCCAGTTCCTTGGCCGCTCGGATGATGTCATCCATGTTTTCTGCAGTAGACCTGTCAACCATAACAACTAGAACACGTCTTTTTAAAGGATCTGAGAACATCTTCCCAGCTGATATCAAAGCTTTTTCAATGTTTGGCTGTCCAGTAGAGGATGGGATGACTGTGATGTATCGAAGAAGGGTTTCTAGTGAGCCAAAGTCGTGAGTAAATTGAATTTGTGGGTTTGGTCGATTTGCAAACTCWATGAATCCRTATCGAATGCGGTTTAGACGRTATTTKGTTATGATAATCTTGATTGCRTCGATCATGTGTTTGTAGATRAGACTTGCTTGGACTCCGGTRGCGGAAACAGCAAATGCCAAGTCTGTTGGTCTTTTGATYAGCACTRTAGCAARGTATAAACAGATCAGCATCAGTTATGAAAACATGTATATTTTTATGTATACTTAATTATTACTTAGCTTTCATTTCTTTCGTGAAATCATTCTCATTCATTCAAATTTAATTTCATATTTTTTATTTCTGCCATTCTTCCTTATTACTTTTGTTTCCTTCTTTCTTTATCCCGTTTCTCCCCTCACTTTACTCCCTTCATGTTCCCTTTCAACACTTCTTATTCCATTTCCTTACATTCTGATTCCGTACACAGCTGTCTGGCCATAGWAGGTGCAAARGGTACCAGSTCTGAGAAAGATGGCACACCATTGTGGTAATCAACCTGAGAGACAGCTTTCTTCAGCTGAGGTGAACTGACTTGAGAACCAACACCAACAGAAAACACTTTAATTTTCTTGTCTTTCAGCGTTTTTCCAGCAAGTGCAACATCTGACGTTGATGGGTCTTCCTTGTCAGTTATGAAAACAATAGCCTGGAAAACAAAGATGGTACAGTTGCTGATGAAAAAAGCTTTTTGGGATGATTCACACTGTAGCGTAAGCCGGGATTTACACTTAATTAACAAGGTCGACATCTTGTACTATTATATTTTGTACTATACTGCAAGAGCAGGCATCCCAGCACCCCTAATAATGAGCTGCTCATAGTAATTGTAAATTTAAACCAGCCTCAAAATGCACAGTCATGTAAAATTATCAACCTAGTATCTTCAATTCACTGTACCTTAACAGCGTCTCTTTTGACCCCATCAAGTAGTTCACCAGCCTTCAGTAAAGCTTTGCTGTATTTCTCGCCAATCAGGAACTTCTCTTGCAMTCCATCAATAGCATCACTTACTTGTTTTTTAMTGAGCTTTTCGTCAAAGGCCATGTCGACATAGTTCATGTTATCATAGGAAATGATGGCCAACTGAAGACTATCTTTTCCAACATTGAACTCTTCTACAACTGCTTTCATGAATAGTTTCTTTTCCTGGAAATTACCTCGTCCAATCACAAAAACCAGGGAGAGGGGATGGGTACAGGCTGGTAAGCAATAAAAATGCAAGCGCATTTTAATAGAGTCCCTTTGCAACAACATGAACAGTAACAATAATGCAATCAAATAATTTCAAAGTTGGTGTCAAAGAGATTTAAATGAGAGAATCTAGTGGTCGCCGAGTGATCAATTCAATAGAAAGTCGTAGCTTTCTTGGGAATGACATTGTTAATAGGAATATCTGTTCAAACAAATATATCCCACTAGTTATACAGAAAGAATTATAAACACCAAGTTAATAAAAAAATATTTTTTGAGCCTACCTGCACATGCTCCATTCTTTAATACACCAATGTCTGTCTTTGAAGTGCAAGCGGCTACCATACGTGTGCAGTTGTTGGTATATGTCCTTTTATCTGACCCACAAACAGGCTTATAGTCATTTTTACATCCCGAGGGACATTCGCATGTCACTGCATTGTCAGCTGTCTTAACACACTGAGAGAAAAACTGGCAAACCTTCTTGAGACATGGATCCTGGAGAACTGCAAAACAAACAAACCTTTCATGAGTTAATTGAAAGCTGTTGTGGCGATTCCTTATTTTTTTCATAACTTTCTTGCGTGGCTTCAATTCTTCTTTATATATACGTTAGGGAAATCTAAAAAAATATATAAATATCAAACCTTTGTAGACTAAATCCATTATCATCTTGCCAAGTCGCTCCGTTCTTTCTTGGGTTGCAGTTACAACAATATTCTTTTTGTCTTTATCAGAAGCAATTGATACAACATCAGATGTACTGACTTCATCTCCAATCAAAACTGGAACGATTTTGATCTTATCACGTTTATACTCATCAACCACACGTTG